CTTTGTTTGCAAAGCGGTGTAATTGGTTTAAGCCCGGAGGCTAGGGAAAGAGGGAAACGGGGCGGGTGTGTGTGTGTGTGTAACCCCCTTTGGAAAAGAAAAAAAAAAAAAGAAAGAAAAGGAAACGAGGCGGGGCCGGCGGACGGGCTCGGGCCGTGGACGGGGATCGCGCGATCGGGACACCTCGGGGACTGGGGAGTGCTGGAGGCCCCTGGGGTCCTTCCTCAGAGACGCTCCCCAAGCTCCAGGCCGTTCGGAGACTCTCTCCCGAGTCCCACCGGCTCCGATTCCCTGTCCACCCCCATCCCCACCCCCTACCCCCGCCTCGATTTCCCTGACCCAAAGTTCAACCCCGGAGCCTGGAGAACACAGAACACAGACTCCCTCCCACCTTCCTGGGCTTCGGCTTTAAAAAAAAGGGGGGGGGGAAGCCCCACTTTGGCCTGGCCACTAGAAACCTGGTGATCTGAGTCAGCCGAGTGACGTTAGGCCGACCCGGGCTCCTGGCTAGAGCAGAGCGGAGGCGCTGCCACGAAACTCGTACCTGCGGCTAAGAGCAGGTGAGTCACCGCACCGTTTTATATCTTTATGACATAACTTTTTTTTTTTCCGCCTCAGTCCACTCCACTCCCCTTGTCATCTGTAGCGATCATAAAGAGGAAGCGACTGAGAGCAGATGTCTGTGTGATAGGGCAGACGGATCCAAGTCGGGCCGGCCTCTCGGCCGTACTCCTCCTCCCGCCCCCCTGCAGCAGCCTTGGGGACTGAGCTGGAGGCGACAGTCTGGTTTCTGATAGGGAAAGGTCAGGGGGAGGGGACGTCTCCCGACACTGGGGCTTTAGCTGGGAAAGCCAGGGCCGGGCGCCGGAACGCGCCGGTACTGAGAAAGAGGTGCCAGCCTGAAGCCAGAGGCAGCCCGGAGTGGTGCCCAGCAGGGTCTCTTAGGCTAGGTCCTCAGGTATCTCACTGGCTTCCTAATCGGCCCAAAGAACTTGTCTGAGGCCCTGGGTAGTGGGTCACCCGCAAGTCCAGAGAAGGGAGATCAACCAAAGAAAATGAACTGGATAGGCACTGAATGCGATAGGCTGCAATACAGTGCGTGTGTGTGTGAGTGACTCTGTGTGCGTGCGTGTGTGTTTCTGGGCGTGTGTAACTGCATTTCTGAACAAGTGAGGCTGTTTCTGTGTGTTTGCGGGTGTGTGTGTGTTAGCAGTCTGCAGAGCCAATAGATTTCCTTAAGCATCAATAAAATAAAACCAGAGATAACTAAGACTCCGTAAAATACTCGTTTTGCAAAATAAAAAACCGCAATTAATCTCATTTAAAGAAATGTGTTTTAACTTGTCTACCACGTCGATACTCCCTCCCACCCCACACCCGTGCTTTGTTCTTTCACATCTTTCTTCCTTGAAATCTGGCCGGAGAGTCACGTTAAATCCTTGAACCAAACAAATCTCTTAAATCAGCAGGGGAGCAGAGAGGGTGAAGATGTGCAGTTAAGGAAATAAAAAAAGATAAACGCATTGGATTACAATTCCTTTATAAACAAACAAAAAAAAGAGGGTGGGGGACACATCACGTTGTAAGGAAAGGAATGACAGTGAAATTAAATCCACCTGGAACTGAGCAGAGCGTTTGCGCCAACGCGGCGGCTCCTGTGACTGGAAGTCACTCCCATCAGATGGTGTACCTGGGAGTGTGTGTGTGTGTGTGTGAAACTAATTCTTTGTGCAAAGTTCCCAACCGGCAGCAGAACCGCAGTCCCATTTGTAAAGTACACGGATGCTTAGCTTCCTCACCCTCGTTGGAGGACTTTCGGTGCTAAGAAGTTTCCTTGTTCCTTCCAGAGGGCGAGCCTCCAACGCCCTCTTGGCTTTTCTACAAAGCATGACTAGGGCATTTTCTATGGGTAATATCAATTTAGTAACAGCTTTTATAGTGCACAAAAAGCTAGTGCCTTAAGGAGAAAAACCCACCGGCTGGACCTCCAAGGGGTGAATGACGTACTCTTTCAATGCATTTTCCAAATTTATTAGGCCTCCTTTAAAAAAAATAACTCAAAAAAGAAAAAGAGAGAAGAAAACCCCGTCTCGTTCCTTGTTTGATGACCACAGTGCAGTGTCTCATCTCACAAGCCTCTTCAAAGCCCAAGCCTGCCAGTGCAGAATATACTACCAGCTTTAGGGACTTGATCCTGCTCTAGAGTTCCAGGTTGGCAGCCCTGGGGATTCCCACGAGCACAGCGCCTCCTGTCGTAGAGAAGTAATGATGTCTTTCGTGCGGGTGCTCACCTGGGGAGCCAGGCCAGGTGAGACTGGACAGAGTTTGGTTCTTAAGGGCCGATTGCCTGGGGCCAAGAAGAAGGAAAGGTGGAGGAAGTTCAGTTCGCTTCTAGCTTCTCTCCATCTCAGTGGCAAAATTCCTAGACACCTAGCATTTTAAGAGGCGATGATGCAGTATGGTCACATACTAGCTAATTTCTTTCCAGGTGTAAATGTCACATCGAGTCTTTGACTTAGCAACTAATGCTACATGCATCTTTTTCCATTCGTAAGTCAGTGCGCTGCCTCTGGGTTGCTGGCCAGTTGACATCCACATGAGGTGGCCAGCAGCCTCCAACGTCTTTCCCCAAATAGTTTCTTCACGCGATTGCAAAACTGCTTTGCAAAGACTGTGCCGCTCTTTGGAGGAAATAAACCTGTCTTCAGGTCCGAGGTGGCTGGAGTTGCTCCAGGCAAGGGGGAGCTACTAGAGCAGTCACGCGGTGACTCTGAGTTCCGGGACTGTCCAGGTAGCGGGGAGGGCGGGCCCCCCAAGCGGAGGAAGTCGGGTGGTTAGGGCTGCCGTGTGTGCTGGTACTCCAGGTGATCGCTAACTAGGAAGCGGCCCCGCCTTTCCCCGGAAGCTGTTCCTACTACACCCCTGGGCCTGCCTGCTCCCGGCGCGGTCTGGTTAGAAGAAAAGGGGCGCTAAGTCCACTAACCCAGCTCTTAGGCGTCAGCCTACCCTTCCCAGCATGACCTGGCCCTTTCCGCAGAGATTCACTGGGCAGGCAGAAGCAAAGAGGACCAGCATGGAAGAAGGAAGGAAAGGCCTCAGGATCGTGTCTCAGGACCAGCTGGTGGCCTCTCTCGAGGCGCTGGTGGCCTTTGCGGTTAGCGCAACCGCAGGGTGGTCAGAAAGCAGGGCCTGGGCGGCCAGCCGGCCACTGCGCGGGCTCAGCCGGGCTGTCCCCTGTCTGTCCCCAGCCTGCCCCCCCCCCCGTTCCCACCAGCTGCCTCCCTTTCCCCTCTGTGCTGCACACCGTCGGAACTGTGGTCAGGTCAAGGCGGCGGTAGTGGGTCCAGCCATGTTCGGTGCGGGGTGGTCCGAGTTCCTCCACCGGCCTCCACCCCCCACCCAGATAAGAAGCTTAAGTCCTCCTCCTGCCAGAGAGAATCAGACGAGCTGAAACTAAGAGCTGTGGTCTTTAACCCGGTTCAAAGTCGACCCCAACTGAGACCAGACTCAGCTTAGATAGAAAGGTTGGCCGAGGCTGGGGCAGAGTGCCTGGCCTTCGCGATCCGAGGTGTGCGCTGGGCTGGGGAAGGGGTTGGGGTACCTGAGGAGCCCCTACCTGAAGTGCCCCGCTCACAATCGTGGGGGACTAGGCCTTCCAGGGGCCCTTCATCTCTCTGGCCCACAAAGCCAGCACTCAGGCGCCTGTTCCTGCGCTGCCTCTCTTTTTTCCCTTTCTTTCCCATCTTCCCTTCCCTTCCATCTTCAAATCACTAATTAAGGACTCAAGCCCTTAAGGCCTCCACCTTCACGAAGGTAGAGGCCCTGGGGCCACCTGAGGGCTTTGGCCAGTTTCTGTGTGGTGTCCTCTGCTGTTCTGGACGCATCCTTCGTGGCGCGCGTGCGCGTGTGCATGCACGCTCCCAGTTCATGCTCCCTAAGGCTTCTGCACGTTTTACTGAAAACAAACAAACAAAAACCATCACTGGGGTTGGCCCTTTCCAAACTGCTTTCCCCTGAGTTGCTACCGGGCTTCCCAATGGCCCGGATTCGCGAGTTGGCTCTTTGGCAGCCGGATGTCTGAGCCGGAGTTGCTCCCCATTCTTTTGGCTGTAAGGGAGCTTCGTCTCGCCAAAACTAACTCACATTTTCATGTATTCAAATGAGAAATGTCGAGAAGGGCAATTTGCCCTCTTGGGCAATCAGCAACTCTGGGAGGAAAAAGTAAGTGTCCCGTGGGTTTCCAGGGCCCCCTGGGTGCCCGCCGCGGTCGGTCCCGCGTCCCCGGAGGCGATGTCTCCTTCGTTAAGGACCCCTTTATTCACACTGGCCAGCGCCAGGTAGAGGACATGCCTATCTAGCTGGACGTGCCTAGCTCCGATCTTCAATCCCTTTCATCCGACACCCGCCCCACCCACCCTGGGGCGCCAGTCTCCACTCAAGGAAAAGCAATGCTGTGCTTTGGAGTTCCTTCCCCTTCGGGGCTCTGGGACAGTATCTGGAACTGC